AGGCCCATGACCCCCCCAAAAAAAGGTGGAGGAGCCAAAGGCTTTGCCTCACTTTGCTTTTTGAAGTCCTGTTTGCAACTTGGGTTGGGGGGGCTAGTCAGAGGTTCAAGTTCATTGTGCTGGATTCCCTAGTCACGTGTGTGTGTGTGTGTGTGTGTGTGTGTGTGTAGAGGTGTGGGGTGTGGGAGGGTCCTGGGATTTTAGCTCTAATTGACTTTTTTTTTTTTGCCAGTCCTGGGGCTTGAACTCTGGACCTGGGCACTGTCCCTGAGCTTTTGCTCGAGGCTAGCAATCTACCACTTGAATCACAGCACTACTTCTGGCCTTTTCTGTTTATGTGGTACTAAGGAATCAAACCCTGGCAAGCACTATACCACTAAGCCACATTCCCAGTCCTCCATTTGACTTTTTTGGTGGTTAATTGGAGATAAATATCTAAAGGCTTTCTTGCCCAGGCTGGCTTTGAGCAAAGCTGCTCAGGAAGGGTACTGGGACCCTAAGTTCAAGCACCAGAACTGGCACAAAACAAAAACCACCCACCTGGCCAGCCTTGTTGCCAAACTTCAAATACATTTTCCCCTTTAAAAATTTATAACTGGGGGCTGGGAAGGTGGCTCAGTGGTAGAGCGCTTGCCTTGCATGCCTGAGGCCCTGGGTTCGATTGCTCAGCACCACATAAGCAAAAAGAAAAAAAGCCGGAAGTGGCGCTCTAGCTCAAGTGGTAGAGCGCTAGCCTTGAGCTCAAGAACTGAGGGACAGCGCCCAGGCCCAGAGTTCAGGCTCCACGACCGGACCCAAAAAAAAAAAAATTTATAAGTGGACACTGGTGGCTCACGCCTGTCATCCTAGCTACTCAGGAGGCTGAACTCTGAGGATCGAGATTCAAAACCAGCCTGGTCAGGAAAGTCTGTGAGACTTTTATCTCCAATACACCAACAGAAAGCTGGAAGTGGTGCTGTGGCTCATGTGGTAGTGCACTCGCCTTGAGACCACAGGGGCCCGGACACTGGCATGGGATGCAGGAACGTGCACGACGGGTGTTTTGCTATAAAAGGTGGTTGGCTGGGCCTCGCTGGAGAACCCGCACCAGCAGGGTGGAGGGAGACGGTGCACAGGAAGGTGGTGCCGAGGGAGGTGGGGGAGGCTCGTCCGGCCAAGGGTGGCACAGCACAAGCTGCCTCAGTGCCTTGGATGGCAGCTCCGGAGTAGCTCCGGCCCCGAGCAGGAGGCCCCGCATGTCAGCGCAGCCGATTGCCTGGCGTGACTGCTGGCGCCCTGCACAGGGCCACACCCGTCTGTAGAAGCCTGGGTGTTTCTTTTTTGTGTTGTTTCTTGTTGTGTTTGTGCTGGTGCAGAGGCTTGAACTCAGAGCCAGGGTGCTGTTCCTAAGCTGCTGTGCTCGAGTGCTCTAGTACTTGAGCCATAGCTCCACTTGGGGCTTTTTGGTGGTTCATTGGAGATAAAGTCTCACAGACTTTCCTGTGGCCAGAGGACTCTTCCAACCCCATCACTAGGACCTTAGCGGCTCCTGGCAGGTTTGTGTGGGACAGCAGGTCAGCTTTCACCCGAGGTGGTCTCCCACTCAGCTTCCCAAAGAGCGCGCTTCAGTGTGCACTACCAGTACCCACCATGTTTTGTTTTGCTTTTGGTCTATCTTGGGGCCTGGACATGCTTCCAGAGCTCTTTTGTTCAAGACTAGCTCTCTACCTCTTTGAGCCACAGCACCACTTCCGGTTTTCTGGTGGTTCACTAGAGAAAGAGTCTCACAGACTTTTCTGCTCAGGCTGGCTCTGAACCATGATCCTCAGATTTTAACCTCCTGAATAGCTGGGATTACAGGCGTGGGTCCGGCTTGCCTTTTTTTTTTTTTCTTTCCCTGTGGCTGCCATCAAGTGTTTGAGAAGACATTTATTTATTTGTCAGTTGTGGGGCTTGAACTCTGGGCCTGGGAGCTGTCCCTCAGCTCTTCAGCTCAAGGCTAGCGCTCTACCACTTGAGCCACACTTGTGCCACTTCTGGCTTTTTCTGCTTATGTGGTGTGCTGAGGAATCAAACCCCAGGGCCTCATGCATGCGAGACAAGCACTCTACCCCTGAGCCACCTTCCCAGCCCGAGAACACATTTCATGTAGTCCACCAACTACCACTTTGGGTCTGGTATGTTTCCTTCTTCAGTATAAGTGGCAAAAATTCCTTTCGCTGACAGATGAAGAAACTGAGGCACCACTGGCCTAGGGCATTTGGCTGGTGACAAGCCGTGGTGGCCAGGATGGGATGAGACAGTTTTGTGACTTGACTCAGGCACCCAGGCCGGGTGGGGGTGGGGGACAGTAACAAAGTTCCATCACACTTTCTTTTTTTCTCAAAATATTTAATTTTCTTTTGAAAAGGATACATACATTCCTGCTTCCCTCCCCGCGTCACTCTAGCCACCAGCAGTGATCCACTCGCACGCACACGCTCACGTAAGGCCAATGGGCTGTGGTCTGCCCCTACCCACTCCATGCAGGAAGAAAGGACTTTTCCTGGCCGCCTTCCCCCAGCGAAAGCAAGGGAGACGGGGGCTGCTGGAGCGCTGGCTTCCGGGGAGGGCAGAGCCCACGCTCCGTCTCACCACATGCACTTAGAAAAATAAACCCAAGTAGTGTTCTGGCATCCCCCCCAACAGCAAAAGATAGCACTCTCTACCTGGAAGTCATCTTTGCCATTTTCTAGAAAAAAATTATTGCACTTAATTAACAGATGTTAAAGGAGCTTTGCCACGAACAACAGGCGCTCCTGGGCCCTTCTGAGTGCCGTGTGCAGAGCTAGCCGGCACAAAGGACCGCCCTGCCGGCTGGAGGTCAGCCTGGCTCTGGGCAGGGGGCGCTGCCCGGTGCCTTCCCCCAAGCAGGAACTAGTTGGGCAAAGCTCATCCTCTGCCAAGGTCCGGACATCCGGGCCCTCTGCAAGGCTGCTGCATCTCTAGATATGTATTTGTCTATCTAGACATTTCTCATGTGTACTTTTTTTTTTTTGCAGTATTCTAGCTTATTCACGATTTGTCTACTCCGTGGCTGTGATGAGACAGACCGCCCAGCCCAAAGTGAACCCACGGAATGCCAAACTGAAATCAGCTTCTAGAACTCTGGCTGCAGGAGGCCCAGAGGGAGAGGCCCGGGGGCCCCGCAGACACACACACAGGCAGGCACCAATCCTCTCTGCAAGGCCTCAGTGCTTAAAGCCAGGGAGGAAGCAAGCTCACCTGAGCATCTCTCCCCAAAAATGCCAACCTCCAGACTTCTCCTTCCAGTCGCTGCCAAGGTCCTGACTCCAAGGGCAGCGCCCAAGAGGCCAGTAGCAACACTCTTTCCAATTAAGCACTTTGGGAAGGAACCAGACACCCCTGCCTGGGAGAAGAAGGAGGGGCATTGCACAGGCAGAAGGGGGTAGCAAGGGGTGAAAGACAACAAGGCCCCCCCAATCCTCTGGGGGTCAGAACACAGACGCCATCCAGAGACAAAGTGTCCACCCCGTAAAAAAATAAAGTGAAAAAGAAAACCACAAACCTTACGTTTTCGAGCCGAAGGAAATAAAGAGCTTTTCAGCTCGAGGCTTGTCCACCATAAAAAAAAAAAACAAGAACCGCTTCTGGGTGAGCAGCCACTCCAGAAGGTGAACGCGGGTGGCGTGGCGGGGCAGAACACTGACATGCTGGATGCAACTGCCCTGGGTAGGTACAACAGAGTGAAAGTGTGCACACGGTTTCCACAGAACCACAAAATCAAAGGCGAGGAAGAAGAGACTCCCTAGGCCTCGGGGCCCGGGTCGAGGCCCTGGGAGAGGCAGGTGTGCAGGTCCTGGAGGGCTGTGGCATCCCCCGGGTGCAGTCCGTGGCCAGTGGATGGTTTTTCCCAGTCTTACCGTCCCCTTGCACAAAGTCTTTACCAGTGAGCCACCGCCGGAAATAAAGCCAGTGTTAAGCAGAACAAAGTGCCTCCGTCACGTCTGTATTCTTCACATCGGCCGCCAGGGGGCGCCCAGTGGACTCAAAGGCGCAGAGGCTTCCACAACTTGCCTCAGTTAACTCTTCTGTCCAGTGGAACGTAAGAAAAAGACACAGCCACGGCTGTGGAAACTGCCCCACTGGGTGACCAGGCCTGTGTGGTGGCCCCCTGACTAGACAGAGAGGGACTCTAGGACTGTAGAAACATCCTAGGAGTCACAGTGTCCTTGGCAACTCTGGAGGTGCCTTGCGTGGCTGATGCACTGGCGGCAGCGCACGGGGAGGGGACCAGAGCCGGACCGAGAAGCCCTTTTCTGTCTCCAGGGACAGCAGGCTTCATTCAGCCTGTGCCACACTGGTGGGCAGAGCAAGAAAACAATGGAACTTCTCAGGAAACAGCCCTGGGCTCTGGGGCCCCCAGGGGAGGGAGCTGTGGAGGCCACTTGCCCAAACACTGTGCCGGGGAGGACCCTGGGGCTCAAGAAGTTAGTGCTTCCTTTTAAAATCCCAGGGCTGAGGGGGGTCGCAGGCGGAGGGGGCCAGCAAGCCGAGGCCAGCTGTGATAAACACAAGGTTCTTGGGGCAGCATCCAGGTCGGGCCTGGCCGGGAGGAGAAGGACAGATTCCCACTCCTCCCCCTGCACTGCTCATCCGCCACCCACCATGCTGGAGTCTCTCAGGAAGACACAGAGGGGGTCCCCAGGGCCTCGGTCCTCTGGCTTCGGAGCCACAGGAGAAATGGGGTGTGGAACTGAGAGCGGGCGGGCGTGCTTCTGCTGCAGGCCTTCGAACCCCACCTGGCCCCAGGGTGATCAAAGAGCCCGCTCCTGGGGCGCCCTCCCCCCCGCCCAGCATGGGCTACCTCCAAGGAAGATGGGAATGGATGCTTCTTGCAGAGACTTTCTGGGGGAAAGGGAGGCGCACGACAGACACGCCGCAGTGGAAATGCACCCGCTACCTGAGACGACGGAAGGGTGAGGCGCTCATGACTCATCCCGCAGACGCGGCCTCCGCAGGGCCCTGGGAAAGCGAAGCATCGCACTCCAAAGGGCCCCCTCCAATTCAGCTGGGATATCGGGGGACAGGAAGGCTGGCCATCCTCCCATCTACATAGATTCTCCTCACGTTCCCCTTCCGACATGGAGACTGCCTCCCCAGGGAAGTCGCCCTGTGCGTGCACTGGCCGTGTCATAATGAAGCTGAGACGTGAACACCCCCAGAGCAGGGCGCTACCACGTGCCCACGACGAGTCCTAAGTCTCCACGCGTGCGTGGGGTCCAAGGAGCCCCAGGCAGAGGTCTGAGGTGCAGGCAGTGCCCTGCCCGGGCGGGGTGCGGGTTACAAGGGCCCGTACTTGGTCTCATACTTGGACACGATGGTCTTGCACTTGCCCACCTCCTTGCGTAGCTCGGCCACCTCCGTCCGCAGGGCTGTGTTCTCCTTCTCCAGGAAGGCTGCCCGGATGGTGATCTGGTTCTCCTTCAGGCGCCGGGCATCCCGAGACCGCTTTGCCGCCACATTGTTCTTCTTGCGCCTCGTCCAGTACTTCTCGTCCTGTGGGGGGAAGGGCCCCGTGTGGGTCTCTAGTTCTCCCCAATCTTTCCCTCCAATCAGCCAGATGCTTCTCTCTCTCTCTGTCAGTCATGGGTCCTGAACTCTGGGTCTGGGCACAGTCCTTCAGCTCTTCAGCTCAAGGTGAGCACTCTACCACTTGAGCCACAGTGCCATTTCCATCTTTTTCTGCCTATGTGGTGCTGAGGAATCGAATCCAGGGCCTCATGCATGTAAGGCAAGCACTCTACCACTGAGTCACTTCCCAGCCCCCAGATGCCTCTCGTAATGCACTGGTGTGGCCAGAACTAAAGCTCAGGGACAGTGCGTAGACCTAGAGTTCAAGCCCCATGCTCAATAACAAAAAAAAGATCATGGGTGGGAAAGTGGTCTTGTCTCCATAGCTCTGATGAAAAGTCCTCCTCCCTCCCTCCCCCCCTTTATATCTATTCCCCCCACCCCCCAGTACTGGGCCTTATACTCTTGCTTACTCAAGACTGGCTCATGGCTGGCTGGCACTCAACCATCTGAGCCACAACTCTACTTCTAGCATTTTGCTGGTCAACTGGAGATAAAAGTCTCATGGACTTTCCTGCCCAGCCTCCTGAGTAGCTAGGAGGACAGGGTAGTGTACCACCAGCATAAGGCCTTCCTGTGTGTTTTTCTAGAAGGGTGGAAAAACCAGGAGTTTCCTCTTCCCTCTGGTTCCTACAGTCATTGGCTGAGAGCTGCTCGCTCACATGTCCCTGCAGATGGCCACATGTAAGCTGTCTTTTGCCCTTTAAAACAGGGACTTGGCCGGGTGCCGGTGGCTCACGCCTATAATCCTAGCTACTCAGGAGGCTTAGATTTGAGGATCACGGTTCAAAGCCAGCCAGGCGGGAAAGTCTATGAGACTCTTATTTCCAATAAACCACCAGAAAACTGGAAGTGGTGCTGTGGCTCAAATGGTAGAGTGCTAGCCTTGAGCTGAAGAGCTCAGGGACAGAGCCTAGGTCCAGAGTTCAAGCCCCGTGACTGACAAAAAAAACAGAAAACAAAAGCCAAAAAATAATAGGGACTTGTTCAACCCCAGCTCCTTTGGCCTAGTGAGCTCTTGCCTAATGGTTTGGCTAAAGCAAGAGAACAAGGAGATCAACATAGTCATAGGCTGTGGGAAGGAGAGAGCAACTTGGAGGTGACAGGGACAGATCATAGCTGACTGCCTTTATTTTTACCAAATTACGGCAGCATGTGGCTCCACACACTAAACTCATGTTTTTTTTGGCTGGTGTCCATGAGGAGGGAGATAAAATCATATGTACAGTCCCTAGATTCTGTGTGTGTGTGTGTGTGTGTGCATGCATGCACATGCACATGTACGTGCACATGCTGGAGTTCAGGTCCTTGCCTGGGGTAAGCAAGCCCTCTACCGCTGAGTCCCGCCCACAGCCCTTTGCTTATCAGTACTCTAGGTTACCTTCTGCTCATCGGGGACAAAGACCTTCTTGGCCTTTTTGATCATGGGCTGGGGCTTCAGATCCTCCTCTGCAAACTTGTGCTTCCGAGGGTTGAAGAGCTCCCCGCCGGGCACGCTGGAGAGGACCAGGTCGGCAGGGTCTGGGTTGAAGTTCACATCGACCTCCACACAGTTGGGGTCGATGGGACTGGGAGTCTCCCTCTCCTTTTCCAGGGAAGATTCTGAAAGACAGACAGGGCTTGGGAAGCAGCTCACAGGTCAGAGGAGATCCCTGCCACCCACCAACGCCCGCTTTAAACTCAACCTGCCAAAGCAGTGCAGTCCTTAAGGTAGACAGACAGGTACACTGTGGCTCAATGCCACAGCAGAAGAATCCTGCCCTCACTTGCTGGTGCTGCGTACACACGGAGCATGCGCTCCATCTCGAAGCTACAGTGCTGAGCTCAGGGATGCTTCGAAACAAGGGCCATCAAAAAGAATTTTCCAATAGCTTTTCTTCTTCCCCAGAAATGTGAAGTGAAATATTCAATCATTATACCCCTTGGCTTCCTGTGTCTCAAGTTCACAAAGAGCTCAATCTCTGGCCTAAGGACAGGACTTAGAAATGTTATGATTTGGTCTTTCCTTCCTTCCCCTCTCTCCCTTTCAGTACTGGGGATTTGAACTCAGAACCTTGTGATTGCTACATTGATGCCATACTTCTGAGATATGTCTCCAGCCCTGTTTTTTTTTAGTTTTCCTTTTTTTGTGCTAGAACTGGGGCTTGAACCCAGGGCCTCTTGCTCTTGCTTGGCCTTTTCACTCATAGGTGCCCCTCCACCACTTGAACCACTCCTTCAGTTCTTCTTTTTTGTTGTTGTTGGTAGTGGGCCCTGAACTCTGGGCCTGGGCGCTGTCCCTCAGCTCTTTAGCTCAAGGCTAGCACTCTACCACTTGAGCAACAGCGCCACTTCCGGCTTTTTCCTTTTTTTTTTCTTTTTTTGGGTCCAGTAGTGGGGCCTGAACTCAGGCCCTGGGGGCTGTCCCTCAGCTCTTCAGCTCCAGGCTAGCACTCTACCACTTGAGCTAAAGCGCCACTTCCAGCTTTTTCTGCTTATGTGGTGCTGAGGAATTGAACCC